CTGTTTTCACAAACCATACCAGGCCTGTGTCGAGGCGGAGAGTCTGAATAGCATCTTCGTGCCGCACCGATGTGCGAACCAATAATCGAACAATCTCCATCAACTGCTCGATCGGCAGCTCCATCTGTGATTGTTGTCCTTGTTTTGATCCTCTGGATTGATCTTTTCCTTTTCCTTTGCCCTTGTGCTGTGGCGTTGCCGGTGTCCTTGGTGCCTTGTTGGGTAGGCTCTGACGATCTGCTTGGCGCTTTTGATTGATCGACTCCCCTAGCATGGGAATGTCCGAGTTCGCCAGTCCTCCGAAGAACTCCTCGAGCTGTCCCGCCCGATCCACGTCCATGGTCATGACACAAGACCGCACACTGAAAAAGTGGCGTACACTGTTTGGAATGCGCTGTGGCTGCACCCTGCCCACCGACTCGAACCACACCACAATAGCGACATGGTGACAAAATCTGTGCATGATGACGCCGAAATTCATCGGAGTAAGAGCTAAGTTCATCCCATCGATCACCATGTGTATTGCGATAGTGATTCTTCATCATAAAGGTATGAGCAATCCATGTGTGGCAAATGACGCACCTGTTTTGCATCTCCTGGAATAGGCCGGGTATAAGACGCAACCCCTCAAGCCCGCGATCAGTAATAGCCTGGATCACCTCAGAACGCTGTGTTATCGGGACATGATCCTGTACTGCAAGCGCCTTCACATCACTAAGTGCGGATACAGCAGGTGCATCATGTTTGGCAAAGACGGGACACCAGCCTTTGTTGATGTGCTTGCGAAGAATATCCCACCTGCGGAACTTAGCCCCACAGCCAGAACAAGTAGGAAGACCATCTCGGGAGTGCACTGATCGATCAAAGACCATACCAGCGCCGCCCTGTCTCGCAGTAACCATTGGCAGATCCGGAGATTGTGTAGAAGGAGTCACGACACACTCTCTTGCCGGGACAACCTGTGCTGTAGACATTCGTACACTATCTGCAACATCAGCATCAGCATCAGCATCCGTGGCAGTCTGGGCACCACTCAACAGTCGACTGGACTGCCCTGACGTGGTCACGGTGACATTTGGAACTGTCGGAGTCACATCATCCGAAGGTTCAGCAGAAGCAGTGTTCGGAGGCTGCAAATCATCGTTGGATTTAGTAGGTTTGTGGCTCTGATGCATGTGCAGTTTCACCGATTTGCGAGAATCAAAATACACACCACACATGGGACAGGCATGTGGTTGAATCTCTTTGGCCACGTGCGTGAGGCGATGTTGGGAAGCCTTCAAGGTCTCACTCATTTTGGCATGCCATCCAGCAAGTGTAGCCGTGGAAATGCCAATCGCGTCGTTGATATTTACATCGCGGTCACATGCATCCTTCAGCCAGTCAGATATACCATCGACACGATACTTAGCCAGCAGATCTGCGTCGCTAACATGAGAGATGTGTGACGGACACGAACAGATGGCTCTGAAATGCTTCATGATGAGAGTCTGTAATTTGCGTTGGAGAGTGGGACCAACCAAGCAACAATCAACTGCATACATGAGCGTCGGCCTAATGGTAGCCATCCACATCCGAATCCTTTGAGGAATACCAAGACCTCGTTTGCTCGTAAAGAACTTCTGCAACTGCCAGAATCGAACATTGGCCTTCTGCATCCTGTGTGCAATCGTCTGCGCTTCGAACTGGTCGTATGAAATCTTGGCTCCCAAATACACAGTAGATCGCACCAAAGGGACATGTCGAGTGCCTTTCTCACCCTCAATCACAAACACCAGATTGTTGCGAACCTTGGTGGTAAAAACGCTGCGTGCCTTTTGCTTCAGAGTACCCCTCACAGTGAAGAGAATTTGCGCCTTGTCGTCATTCAGGGACATACCAAACTCCTCAAGGGTTTCCATAATAACAGAAAGTTGCCAAACACACTTGCGAAGTTCCTCGTAGCTGTGAAAAGTCCACGCGGAATGCGTGTCATCCGCGTATTGTGTCAAGTGCTCCTGGCAGAATCGAGGGCCGAGTTTTTCGTTCAGTCGTCGACATATAAGCGTCATGAACGCCAAAAAGATTGTAGGCGATCCTCGGCACCCCTGTTTGACTCCGCGTCCCACCTGTAGGCATAAGGTATGTGCACCATTGTGTATTTGGTATTCGGAGCAACTGAGCCAGCCTAATAGAATGGCAGCCAAATCTGGGGGCACCTGCGCTTGTGTAAAGGCATCCCGGATGTGATGCCACGGCACTCGATCAAAAGCGGAACTGAGATCCAAGCATACTTGTAGTCCGCCGCATAGTTCCGATGGCCTCCATCCTTCGAAACGACGATGTATCGTATCAGCTTCTTGCTGACAAAGATGCCTAACCGCATCACAGTGTGAGAAAACAACTTGCAGCGCCTGACGAGTTGATCTCCCAGGCATATAGGCGTATAACGGAAAAGAGCTCGCCCAGTCCTGAACATATGGTTTGAGACGATCCACCAAAAGATGCATCACGGACTTGGCAACCGCATCCTGAAGTCCAATAGGGCGCCAGTCTTTCACCTCTGAGGTTTTCTTGCCTGGCTTTGGGAGAAAGATGAGCTCGGCTATACACCATATACGTGGGAAGATGAGATGCTCAGTACTCCACATATATCGAAGCAGCTTGCATAGAGCAGGGGCCAGTTCCTGCTCGCAGATACGATAAACCACACCCGGCACAGAACCAGATGACACCGCCTTGCGCATGGGTATCTGCTGAAGGTAGGCCCGCATTTCAGCCTCACTGACCTGAAAAGTGGTGGACAATCTCTGCTCGCCATGACCCTGAGACGCTCTTGCAGTGTCGTATAAGGCTTCGTAGTACTTCACCATAGCCTGTAGTTCCTCCTGTGGAGACAGCATTTGTCCTTTCGGCTTGATTTGAAACTTTTTCGAAGGAGTTTTAGGAGCTAACCGACGAACAATGCGATACAATGCCCATGTGTCATGTCGCTGCGCAGCATGTTCAGCCTCCTCGAGAGCATCAGTGATGCGTTGTTTGCGTAATATTTTGCAGTATTTGCCATGTTCACGATGCAATTGACTGAACAAACACCAGCATCTCCAAGCCCGAAGGATGCCCCTTTCAGTCCCCTGGAACGAACGCATCCTACGAAAAAGCTCCCACATACGAGCCGCACGACCTGTTTGGAGTTGATTCTGCCATGGGGCTGATGAGGTCGAACGCCGTGCCGGATACAAAGACACTGCAGTGGTCAGCACAGAGTGATTTAACTGCTGCAAACAAGCTTGAGGGTCACATGGTATCTCGCATTCTTGACTCCAAGCACCGACCACATTTTTGAGAGCAGCAAAATGTTCCTGTTCACCCTTTTGAACTTGCTGAGAGAGAGCAGCAACATCGATGTTGGTCCGAGGTTCACGATGGGAATGTGTATGCCAAGTGCGGGCCACACTAGTCACAGGAAAATGATATGCAGCATCATCCGAGATATGGCGACCCACCGAGAACTCATAATCAGCATGCGCACGTTTGGCATCGCGATCAGCATGAGCAACACGAGTAAAAATATAGTCAAGCTGTGATGTACGTGGTCCGAACTTGAAAGTATAGCCAGGTGCTGTTCCAAACGTGTTCAATGCAACAA